TGGGCCCACGTCTGTTTGGTAAATATTAGTGTCCGCCGCTCGGCGGCGGAGCGGCGCGGCTCGTCAATGGCAGCGGTGGCAGGTCTTTCATGCGCCGCACCTGTGCTACAGGACTGCCACCTTCCCCCTCCCCCTGCGGCTGACACCGCCACCGTACCGTACCCTCCCCCCGTCCCCCCCCCGACTGACGCGGCCAGCACAGCCGGCGTGTCGGCCGCAGCCCGCGCCCACTGCTGTGTGTGTGGGGGGGGGGGGACGGGGCGGGGGTCGTCGCCGCGGTGCGCTGTTTGTGTGGAGGTGACAGGTAACACGTGTAGGCGGCGGCGACGGAGTGTCCCCTGACAATATGGTCCGGGCATACCCCCGGGTGCAGACCACCCGGGTCTCTCCCCACTGATCGGACGCACCGGTACAATAGTGCTGCTTACTGAATCGCATCCATCTTCTTCTTATCGTGAACCATGGGCGAAAAAATTCACTAAGCGATGTGCGCACCACCGCCCGCTGCCGCTCAGGGCGCGGTGCGGTCCACATGGGTGTCCTTTGCGTTAGTGTTACACCAGGGTAGTTTCACCTCAGACAGGCCTGTCTCAGCTGCGCGCTGTGATCCTGTTTCTGTGTTCGGCTGTGGCCGCAGTGGTCGGTGACTGCACCAGCTCGTATAACAGTGCAGTGCCGTTCGGTGGTGCCCGATGGACCGCGCGGCACGGGTCACCTCCCTCTCCGTGTGAGTGTGCCGTGTGCCGTGCCGTGTGCCGTGCCGTGCCGTGTGCCGTGCCGTGCCGTGTGCCGTGCCGTGCCGTGCCGCCCGCTCTGGTCCGGTGCGCCGCGGTGAGCTCAGCTGGACGTGCTCCCGCCCGGCACGTCCACACGTCCACTCTCAGCTGACCCTCGCTCTCCCCCCTGTCCTGGCAGGGAGCCACCGGTCCACAGTCAGCCCCCACCAGTACCGTGTCTGGTGTTAGCCCAACACCCGTCCTCAGGGACACCACACTGCCCCGCCGAGCCTGCCGTCCCAGCCGGTGTTTAATCAATGGCGCCTTGTCGCTCGCGGCGCGATGGCACCTCCCCTGGGTGTTCAGTCACGTGATGGGTCCTTCTGCGAACGGCGCGCCGTGTCACCTGGTCACGTGTCCGTCTGTTCGTCTGTCCGTCCGTGCTGTCCGACGGTGGATGACCAATTCATGCCGCCAGGGTTACCGGAGTGTTGACACTGGCGATCGGTATTTTTTATAGTCAATGGGTATTGGATACCTATGTCTGCTGGCTCCATTGACTGGGCTTGGACAGACCTCGTGGATTGGCGTATCGGGTGGTGGCGCTTCCGACTGTGAACTCCGGTCGGTTTTTGTAAGGAAGTTCGATGGATAGTTGAGTTAATTGTCAACCCATTGGAGTGTGAACAGGATTCTTATGCGCTGCGGTCACCCATAAACGCCGCTGTGGTCGCCCGCTTACTGAATCACAAATGCTGAATCACGTTTCACTCTTACTGATGACATCAGCGAGGTTCTGCGTCGCTCCCGGGATGGAGCTTCGCTTGAGGTCACGATCATCCCTCTCTCGTCCCCCCAATCATCCTCCGACCTATCCCAGTCAATCGAGTCTCACTCAGCCTCGGCCCCCAGTTGCCAGTCAGTTCCTCGGGTTAGATTCACTCTCTGCTGTGCACCGGCGCCAATGAGCGGCGGCCGGCCGCTGGAGTGACCCGGTGACCCCAGAGGCACAGCTGCAGTGGCGATGACTACAGCAGCCCAGTCGGCCAGTTAGGGAACGGGCAGCCGGCTGGCTTTCGGACACATGACATGCAGACATGCATTGCACTTATGGTTTCGGTTACCTTACGCTACCCGGACTTACATAGTCCGCCAGCCAGGTGCGACTTGATGTTACCAATTGACACAAATACCCAGAGTGCGCCACTGCCCCGCAGGAGGTCGGCGATGTGTAACGCACACGGCCGCTGCGGTCACACGTCCCCGGGGGCCGACCGTTGGCGGCCAGGCTGACCTCTGTGGCCGGGTCGCGGTGTGTGGTGTGTGGTATGTAGCCGGGCAGCGGACGCTGTGTGGCTGCCGGAGATCGGGTGACGGTCTGCTGGTGGACTGGCGGTCTGGAATAGGCTGGTAGATACGCTACCCACCGGGACTGTGTGGTGGTGGGCTGAGTTGAGATGAGTGGTGGCGCCGATGGACTGGATGGAGGACTTCCACACCGGACTGGACTGGATAACGAGTTGTTGGCTCCGATTGCTCGCTAATGGACTCGGCTCTCTGCGGCCTGTGGACATTAGGACAGATTGTGGACGGATTGGCCGGCTTCGTGGAGTGTTAACAGAGGATCATTGGGCTGACTGGCTGTTTGGATTGAGTCGGTGCTTTGACTTAGTCCTAACTTTGACCGTCCGGCTGTCTGTACGGCAGGGCGGGGTCCTCCGTCCAGCTGTCTGTACGGGAGGGTGGGGTCCTCCGTCCGGCTGTCTGTACGGCAGGGATGGGTCCTCCGTCCGGCTGTCTGTACGGCAGGGCGGGGTCCTCCGTCCGGCTGTCTGTACGGCAGGGCGGGGTCCTCCGTCCGGCTGTCTGTACGGCAGGGGGGGTCCTCCGTCCGGCTGTCTGTACGGCAGGGCGGGGTCCTCCGTCCAGCTGTCTGTACGGGAGGGTGGGGTCCTCCGTCCGGCTGTCTGTACGGCAGGGATGGGTCCTCCGTCCGGCTGTCTGTACGGCAGGGCGGGGTCCTCCGTCCGGCTGTCTGTACGGGAGGGCGGGGTCCTCCGTCCGGCTGTCTGTACGGCAGGGCGGGGTCCTCCGTCCGGCTGTCTGTACGGCAGGGCGGGGTCCTCCGTCCGGCTGTCTGTGTACGGCAGGGCGGGGTCCTCCGTCCGGCTGTCTGTACGGCAGGGCGGGGTCCTCCGTCCGGCTGTCTGTACGGCAGGGCGGGGTCCTCCGTCCGGTTGTCTGTACGGGAGGGCGGGGTCCTCCGTCCGGCTGTCCGTACGGCAGGGCGGGGTCCTCCGTCCGGCTGTCTGTCTTCCGTCCGGCTGTCTGTCCTCCGTCCGGCTGTCTGTACGGCAGGGCGGGGTCCTCCGTCCGGCTGTCTGTACGGCAGGGCGGGGTCCTCCGTCCGGCTGTGACCTCCGATAGTGGCTGTCGCCGCCGGTTCATGGCTCGTAACGGCCGAATGTCGGCCGAAAATCGAACACCACCGCCCAGTCCCCCAGTGACCACACCGCGGCGAATCGGTGACTCTGACTATGAGTCAGCGGCGGGGCGAGCAGTTCCGGCCCGACAGGAAAGTCTCCGGCCTTCAGTGGCTGCATTCAGCAATGGGTAGCACCAATCGTACCTTACATCATGAGGGACAGGTGCACACAGAGCTGGCATTGTTATGAATTTCGTAAGCTGGCGTGTCATATGGTCGTCACATTGCATGTCAGTCATTTACGTAACTTGTCATAGGTTCGGGCTAACCTTGACGCCTTTCCGCATGGTTCCTGATATCCGTGTTCCTGTGTACGACACTCCCTCGGTCTGCCTGCCACCAGTGGCGCTCTCAGACGCCGCCCTGGGGGTGCCGGCGCCGGCGGCAGAGTGCCGAGTCTCGCTCTCCGGGACGCCGTCCGTCGGAATCTCTCTCCGCCGGGGCTGAGGCGGTGGGAAGGGGCGTCACCCTGCCACTAATGTCCCGTCCGACGCCCGTAAATAGAGCTGAGAGCGGCGGGCGCTGCCAACGGAGTGGCCGCCGACTGTCGCCGCTCGGCCGAGTCCGCCGCTGTGTGGACAACTGCCGCTGTACCCGGCTACTGTCGTGGTCCGGTACGGCACGGCGCCAGTGGTAATAGCACCAGCGCCCGCCACCCACCGCCCACCGCCTGCCTCTCCGCCCGGCTCTCATGCGGAGCGTGGCGTGCAATAACACGGCGCGTCCCAGCTGCTCCGACGGCGCAGTAATTGCGCCGCTCCCACGGTAGCGCGTGAGGCCGGGGACCCTCCCGGGGCGTACAGGGCCGTGTTGACCCAGCTGGTGCACCGCCCACCGCCCGCAGTCTACCGCCCACCGTAGATGCAGTCACCCGTCACGAAAGCAAGCCTTCCTCGCCAGTCCGCCCTTCATTGGCCTCGGGTTGGCGCCTGGCGGAGGTATCTTTTGGCCACTCTCAGCGGACCTAGCCTTCGCATTTGTTCTCTATGGCCTAATCTCGCGCCGTTTGGACGGCAGAATCTTCTCCATCGCGGAAATTGGCTTCCAAGTAGATTGGATACAGTATATTACACGATGATCACACGTTATTAACGATTGACGTTATGTGCACCGGCTCTGAAATGCCGTACTTGACCTTGACCCTGAAATGAGAACAATGTCCGCACGCTAACTCTGTCTGTTGCTGATAACATGCTGCACCAGCCACCAGCCCGGATCATGTCTCCATGTGTAACTGTCAGGCCGCCAGCTGACTGGTATCTGTCACTCAGTTTAGCAGTGTGACAGCCGCTGACAGCAGCCTGTCCGCCCATACTAAATACTACCCCGTCCTGTGTCTCTTATTTCTGCGCACACCTTGTCCTGCCCTCTAATGTCTGCTGACGCCTTGTCCCGTGTCGCTCTGCTGTCTGCTGACGCCCGTCCCGTGTCTCTGCTGACGCCCTGTCCCGTCCTGTGTCTCTCTGATGCGAGCTGAAGTTCCGTCCCGTGTCTCTGCTGTCTGCTGACGCCCCGTCCTGTGTCTCTGCTGACGCCCCGTCCCGTCCCGTGTCTCTGATGTCTGCTGACGCCCTGTCCCGTGTCTCTGCTGACACCCCGTCCCGTCCTGTGTCTCTCTGATGCGAGCTGAAGTTCCGTCTCGTGTCTCTGGTGTCTGCTGACGCCCTGTCCCGTAACTCCGGCATCTACTGATGCTCCCGTGCCTCTCTGATGTCTGCTGATGCCCCGTCCCGCGTCTATGCTGTCTGCTGACGCCCTGTCTCAGTCCCCCACTGACCTCTCCGTCGCTCTGCTCACAGCGGGCCCCGTTGGGCGGCGCGGCGCGGCCCGGCGGCGGCCTGAGCTGCAGCCATGAGCCCGGCCGGCGGGCGCGGCGGCGACGCCGAGCTGCTGGCGGCGCGCGCTGCCGCCGAGCGCGCTGCCATCGTGGCCAAGTACGACCTGGGCCGCGAGGAGGGCGCCCAGATCGACCCCTGGGAGGACCCCAAGTTCGAGATCTACCACGTCACAGACAGATACGGCTTCATACAGTGAGTGCGGGACGGGGAGAGGGGATAGCTCCTCTGAAATATTTGTGTTCCTAGCCAACGTTTGTTTCTAACAGGAGGGTGGTACTTCTTATATCAGTGCTAAGTAACTAATTGATTACCGAAGTGAAAAGGAGCTTCGACATCCTTTGGTCGCAGCTACTAATGGACGATTACCCAGTCGCCCGGGTACATCATGTCCGCCCTTTCCCGTCTGTGTCTGTCCTGGGACGGATCGCACCTGGTCTGCCCTGGGACGGATCGCACCTGCCACCTGGCCGTCAGTGCACACTGCACACTGCACGCCGTGCACCGTGCACGTACTGTGCAGCGGCGGCGGCTGATCACAGGCCGCGCTCCCACTGTGCTGTTTTTTCCGGCTCCGAGAGCGGTCACCGGTGTGGCTCGACTGGGTTTCCGCAGCCATGGAGTCCGCGCCCTGTGTCACGTCCCGGGGGTCGCGGGCTGGTGCCGACTCGGTGGTCGGTCGGCGGACGATGAAGGGCCGATGGTCGGAGCTCGGTGACATAGCCGACTGGTGGGCGGCGCTGACGGGGTCGTCATTGGGGGGGGGGGGGGGGGTCAGCGAGGCCCATTATGACGTGAGCGCTGTGTTGTGCTAGTCCAGTTTAGCATGTGCTCAATGCCTGTGATAACATTGTGCGGTGCTTGTAGCGGCTCTGTACTAGCCGCTCGCTGCACTTTGTATGCCTCGATAACGGCCACTCACCCTATTGTAATGTATGCAAACTTGATTTGGAGAAATTTATCGAAGTGCTCAGTTTTAATGCATTTTTGTTTAATATTTTTGTTCATTGTTCAACATTGTTCAATATTTGATATGTATTCATATCGTCGGATGTTGTCGCTTATTTTTAGGCAGACAATCCCAAACGTTGCATTATTAATAATGGGGTGTTTTGCTCGTTTCTTTGCCCTTGCTCGCCCCGTTCCGGACATGTGTCTGATGCTGCTGTCTGTCTGCCGCAGCGACTGCCGGCTGCCGGAGACGCAGACCGAGGTGGAGAAGACGCTCAAGGAGCTGGAGGTGACGCGCGAGAAGAAGTGGCTGGACATGCTGCACCGCTGGGAGAAGATCCGCGCCGGCAAGGACCGCAAGCTGGCCGACAAGCTGCGGCGCCGCGTCTACAAGGGCATCCCTGACAAGCTGCGCGGCACCGTCTGGGGCAGGATGCTGAACGTGGAGAAATTGAAACAGGAACAGCCCGGTGTCTACGAGGTGAGACGGACAGTGGGGGTAGGAGGGACAGGAGGGGGGGGGGGTCCTGGGCCACAGGAGCAGCCCGGCGTGTACGAGGTGAGGCGGAACGGGGACGGTGGTACAGGAGGGGGGCGGGGAAGGGGGTCCTGGGCCACAGGAACAGCCCGGCGTGTACGAGGTGAGACGGACGGCGGGGGTAGGAGGGAGGGGGTCCTGCGCCACAGGTTCAGCCCGGCGTCTACGAGGTGAGACGGACGGCGGGGTGGGAAGGGGAGAGGGCCCTGGACTCCTGGTCCTGGACCACTCAGAGGTCCGAACTGCTTGGAACTCTATTTGTGAAATGGAACTCTTGATAGACTAGAAACTCCGCACAATGCATACCTAGGCATGCTGGTTCGCTGGTGGTCGTCGTTCGCTGCTGCAGCCCAGTAAGGTTTTATCGGCCGTCTCGGTGTCCGCTGCCGCCCGCTGCCTGCCGTTCGTATCGGAGGTCCGCAGCGGAGATCAGCGCTGGTCGGGCGGTCAGAGACGGTGATTGGCGAGACGTGTGGTCGGCGGCCCGGGGCCGGGACCTCGGCCGCAGTCCGGCTCAGCGGCGGGATAACGGAGCCGGGGAGGCGGCTTTGACTGGCGGCCGCAGAGGTCGGGTCACACTGCACGCTCTGTGAGGGCGGGAGGGGTGGAAGGTCACGTCTCTGTGGGTGCGGCTAATTGTGGGCTACGCTTTTGCGAAACTGCCAAGTTTGGCAGCCCAACTCGACCAAAGCGAAATACGCCTAGAACCATCCTGGTAACCTGTCAGACCGACTCAGAACGACTCAAACTGACTCAGACCGACTCAACCGACTCAAATCGATTCCGATCGACTCAGACAGACTCAGAACGACTCAGGCAGACTCAAACCGACTCAGGCAGACTCAAACTGACTCGACCGACTCAACCGACTCAAATCGATGCCGATCGACTCAGACATACTCAGAACGACTCAGACAGACTCAGGCAGACTCAAACAGACTCAGGCAGGCTCAAACCGACTCAGGCAGACTCGACCGATTCCGATCGGCTCAGACCGACTCAGATAGACTCAGAACGACTCAAACTGATTCAGACCGACTCAACCGACTCAAATCGTTTCCGATCGACTCTGACAGACTCAGGCGGACCCAGGCAGACTCAAACTGACTCGACCGACTCAAACCGATTCAGATGGACTCAGACCGACTCAGATCGACTCAAACTAACTCAGACCGACTCAACCGACTCAAATCGATTCAGATCGACTCAGACAGACTCAGAACGGCTCAGACAGACTCAGGCAGACTCAAAACGACTCAGGCAGAATCTAACTGACTCGACCGACTCAAACCGATTCAGATAGACTCAGATAGACTCAGAATGACTCAGACCGACTCAACCGACTCAAATCAATTCCGATCGACTCAGACAGACTCAGAACGACTCAGACATACTCAGGCAGGCTCAAACCGACTCAGGCAGACTCAGAATGACTCGACCGACTCAATCCAATTCAGATCGACTCAGACCGACTCAATCTGACTCAGGCCAACTCAAGCGACTGAAATCGATTCCGATCGACTCAGACAGACTCAGAATGACTCAGACAGTCTGTGAGTCTGTCTGAGTCAATCGGAATCGATTTGAGTCGGTTGATTCGGTCTGAGTCAGTTTGAGAGTCGTTCTGAGTCTATCTGAGTCGGTCTGAGTCGATCTGAATCGGTTTGAGTCGGTCGAGTCAGTTTGAGCCTGCCTGAGTCGGTTTTAGTCTGCCTGAGTCCGCCTGAGCCTGTCTGAGTCGATCGGAATCGATTTGAGTCGGTTGAGTCGGCCAGAACGACTCAGACCAACTCAACCGACTCAAATCAATTCCGATCGACTCAGACAGACTCAGAACGACTCAGACAGACTCAGGCAGACTCAAACCGACTCAGGCAGACTCAAACCGACTCAGGCAGACTCAGAATGACTCGACCGACTCAAACAGATTCAGATCGACTTAGACCGACTCAGTCTGACTCAGACCGACTCAACCGACTCAAATCGATTCCGATCGACTCAGACAGACTCAGAACGACTCAGACAGTCTGTGAGTCCGTCTGAGTCGATCGGAATCGATTTGAGTCGGTTGATTCGGTCTGAGTCAGTTTGAGAGTCGTTCTGAGTCTATCTGAGTCGGTCTGAGTCGATGAAGTCAGTTTGAGTCTGCCTGAGTCGGTTTGAGTCTGCCTGAGTCCGCCTGAGTCTGTCTGAGTCGATCGGAATCTATTTGAGTCGGTTGAGTCGGTCTGCGTCAGTTTAAGTCCTTCTGAGTCTACCTGAGTCGGTCTGAGTCGATCTGAATCGGTTTAAGTCGGTCGAGTCAGTTTGAGTCTGCCTGAGTCGTTCCGAGTTTGTCTGAGTCGATTGGAATCGAATTGAGTCGATTGAGTCTGTCTGAGTCAGTTTGAGTCGTTCTGAGTCTATCTGAGTCGGTCTGAGTCGATCTGAATCGGTTTGAGTCGGTCGAGTCAGTTTGAGTCTGCCTGAGTCGGTTTGAGTCTATCTGAGTCTGTCTGAGTCATTCTCAGTCTGTCTGAGTCGATCGGAATCGATTTGAGTTGGTTGAGTCAGTCTGAGTCAGTTTGAGTCGTTCTGAATCTATCTGAGTCGGTCCAAGTCGATCTGAATCGGATTGAGTCGGTCGAGTCAGATTGAGTCTGCCTGAGTCGGTTTTAGTCTGCCTGAGTCGTTCTGAGTCTGTCTGAGTCGATCGGAATCGATTTGAGTTGGTTGAGTCTGTCTGAGTCAGTTTGAATCGTTCTGAGTCTATCTGAGTCGATCTGAATCGGTTTGAGTTGGTCGAGCCAGTTTGAGTCTGCTGAGTCGGTTTGAGTCTGCCTGAGTCGTTCTGAGTCTGCCTGAGTCGATAGGAATCGATTTGAGTCGGTTGAGTCGATCTAAGTCAGTTTGAGTGGTTCTGAGTCTATCTGAGTCGGTCTGAGTTGGTACGTTATCTTCTCCTACCCGGTGACGTCACAGCATGCGTCGGCTTGGCACGGCCGCCACAGGTGGGGTGCGGCTAATGGTGGTATCTCGCTTTGGTCGAGTTGGGCTGCAACTTGGCGGTTTCGCAAAAGCGTAGCCCACAATTAGCCGCACCCCGTCTCTGTGCGGATCCTCCCGCCCCTCCATTGTAAGTGAGCCCCCGCGGCGGCGGGTTCGATTGATTCTCTGAATCGGGCGCCGCCGGGGCTATTTCTGGGCAGCCCCGGCGCTGAAATAGGCCCCGGGTGGTGTCGGCGGCACGTACAGCGATCCATTCAGTTTAACAACTGACTCGGCGGTCATACAGATGTCGGCCCGGAGGCGGACTGTTCACTGATATCGTGACCTTAGTGGGTTCACAGAAACAATCGCTGGGTACTCAACTAGTGACGGTAACATTTGTTCTAACTATTACCGGCGGTTGTAAGCTCTTCTCTTACCGGTCGTTGACTGCATTTGGTTGAATTCGCCAGTCTGCTCAATGACAAATCAATCTTGGAGATGTCCTACTGCCATTCATGGTTGTCTGCAGGCCCGGTATGACATACGTGAGCGTTGTGTCGGCCGTCAACAGCCGTCGGCCGCGGGGCGGGGTGCTCATATCCGTCCTGCTCACGCAGTCTGCGCGCGGCGCCGGATGTGTGACCCGGTTCCTCACACAGCAGCTCGGCGGGACGGGGGCGGGCCGATATCCCGTCCACAGTAGCCCCCGGGGTCTCCAGACCCGGTTCAGACTCGCCCTGGTCTGTGTACGGAGCTGTGTCCGTGATCAGCGCAGTGGTCCCGGTAGTGGGAACTGATGGCTACGATCAGCCTCAGGTTCAGGTCAGACCGGCAGTAGTTGTGAGTCGTCGGGTCTCCCGGGACCCGACTGATTGATTCAGCAGGACGCTGATGGCCGCCGTAGATTGCCCGCGGCGCTGCCCCCGGTGGACGCAATAACGTGCATAATACATGCCGTACATGACTATTGACTGTGGTGTGGGTCAGTATATTGGAGCCCTGGGGGGGGGGGGGGGCTGCCAACCTCCTGCTGAGCTGTTTTTTCGCATATGAAGCTTCGGCACTGTTAGGAATCTGACGCTGGTCCTTCCCTTAATCACTTCCTCATCTCATCTCCGTATGAAACTCTATGGAACTTTACAGCTGCCTGGTCGATCGCCGTTTTATGCCGGGCTGCCCAGCGAACCGTGGAGCGATGTAATCCCGGGGGTCGGCGTCCTCCGCTCATCTGCTGATGGCTGTCTCCAGGGTAGAGGTTTTATACCATCTGTATTGTACGGTCTCTAGGCGTGAGAGATGATTGGGCAGTCACCGTCCGATTCCCACCTGAGCTGAGCCGCCGGTCCGGTCCTGGTAGACAGTCTCTGACCTCTCGCCAGTTCCCACCGTCAGTGGACGCTGACGTCATGCTCCACACGTCATCACTGACGTCACCCAGCACAGCTGTTTGTTTGCCCTCTCGTCACCGCGCGTTACCTGGCTGAGCGCGTCACGCGCGTTACGCTGGTTGTATATACGGGCCGTCGGCCATGTGTGGGCAGCGAGTGGAAAAAGGCGGCTCGTGCCTTATTGGACCGAGTCCCTCACCTGCGTCATCCAGCGTAAGAGAGATTGTTTTTGCGTTGCCGTGGCGCCGGATATACGACGGCCTGCCGCCCCGTGCGGCAATTGCGCCCGGATTGGTTCGTAATGACGTCACTCGAAGGCTTAGAATGGCAATTCTGACGTCACCACCGTACCGTTTTTCGGTACAGAAGGTATTTGGGCTGATCCTACTCGATTTCCCGTCTTGTGCTTGCACCGATGATGTCGCTTATAAATGTCGCGGATGGCGTGGATATGACTGGGAGTGTCTTGAATGGGTGTTTACGTGAGCGAATAGAGGGAAACACTCGGAAGCTGTTTTACGTTGTGTACAATGTACGACTGACGCCAACAAGCTCACCGTACTTGCAACTTACCGTGTTGACTCGTGATTGAAACATGGGAATATGTAACTAATGCTTAGGTTTCTGTTAACTCATTGTCGGGCCGCATTGTAATTTATCACACAAGCCGTTTTTTAATCGTCCACATCGCCCGAGTTTCTTTCGAGTGCGTCAGTCACGTTCAGGTGCCTTGCTGGCGTCACCGGGGAAGGAAAACGCCGCGCTCCGTGTCTGCCAGGAACGTCCCATTACGTGTCTGTCTGCCCGACTGGCCGTGTTATGTGTATTTGTGTGAATGCGTCTGACCGTAGGCCATGGGTTACGAATCGATACACCTCATTGATGTATGGTATGATGCAAACCAACGTGTGTTTGTGTGTGTGCAGTCGAACCCATTTGACCACCATGTCACCCACCCCGCCGCGTGTCTGTCCCGCAGAAGATGCGGCAGAGCGCCCGTCTCTGGTCGCCGGAGGTGCGGCAGATTGACCTCGACGTGAACCGCACCTACCGCGACCACATCATGTTCCGCGAGCGGTACGGCATCAAACAGAAGGAGCTCTTCCACGTGCTCGGTACGTACCACACCGGCAGCGCTCTGGCGTAACCATTTCCGTACTATCCGTACATATTGTACTTTTTACCTGTAGTGGGTTCTTGGGAGTTGGGGACATTGAGGTGATTGAGAGAACAATGCACACGGTCTAATGTCCGGGCTAGCAGTTGTTGGTAGCGTGTTTATGTGTTCGTTCGAAGTTGGAGACAGTTTGCCGTTCTAGGCCTCAAATATCATATGTTTTCTTGGACTGGGATGCTCTGGTGATCTTTGCCAGTCCGTCTGTGTTCTGTCAAATACATAAGGGACTAATTTGTCAACTGGCGAGCAACTTCAAGTAACTGAACTTGCCGAGCTCTTTTACTAAGCTGCCCTCGCATACATCTGTCACCCTTTAGATATAAGATGAGGACGAAGTCATTCTTTATGTGCTGTGGCGTCCTGTTTTTCCTTTCCAATCCAATGCATCTAACTCTGACCATGGGGTGTGCTCTCCCTTCCGAGCGCTGCCCTGACCGTCTATGTCCCAGATCGCCGCGCTGACCGTCTATATCTCCCCCGTCAGCGGCGTACTCTGTGTACAACACGGAGCTGGGCTACTGCCAGGGCATGTCCCAGATCGCCGCGCTGACCGTCTATATCTCCCCCGTCAGCGGCGTACTCTGTGTACAACACGGAGCTGGGCTACTGCCAGGGCATGTCCCAGATCGCCGCGCTGCTGCTCATGTACCTCAACGAGGAGGACGCGTTCTGGGCGCTCTCCGTGCTCATGGCCGGCAACATGTACAACATGCACGGTAAGTCGGGCTGGGTGGGTGGAGACTGGGAGGGTTGGTGGGGTCAGTGGCTGCCAGGAGGCGGTAGGACGCCGTGGGTCTGAGAGACAGTCTGAGAGAGACTGGCGATGGTGACTGAGGAATCGGTATATGCTGGTCTGTTCCATTTGCTCCTAGTTACTCTAGTTGCGTTTAGTAAAATATGAGTCATAATTGAAATGCTTTAGATATGTATAATGTATATGCCGGCGACTTTGATAATGTGTCGGTTGCCATGACAGAAATGCGAATAAGAAATGCACATTACACAACCTGAACTCGCGCTATCCCCGCTCCGGTATCCGTCAGTAGTCAGATGATGTTCCTAACGAGTCCGGCTGAGGAACCCGAGAGGCTCGCCATCGACCCGCCGTAGACCGGGGATCGCTCCTGTCCCGCTCGGTGGTCCTGAATCATTCAGCGGCGCCGCGGCCTCCTCTCTCTATTTATCGGCCTGATTGGCGGCGGGAGGTGCGGGGTCCCGGCCCGCTGCCCGGGGTCGGGCTGACCGGCACGTCACTCGGTCACCGCTGGGAGGGATCACCGTCAGTCGGGGGAGGCCGACGTTCCGGGTCGGTCGGGTATTCCCTGCTGTGGACTGGGAGTCGCCGAGGAGCGGTACATACTCTGGGAGGGACGGTATGTCGTCTGTGGCGGCCGTCCGCCCACCGCTGACGGGTATTGGCGGGCCGGGCATACCGTGCCAGTGACAGTGATCGATGTGACAAATGTTGTCATCTTGTGGGTCACATATGTTAGAAGGTGAAGCTGAGTTTACAACATGACCGAAGTGCTAGAGGGTGGGCAGGATCTGAGTAATGTCGTTATGTTGCGTTGGCCGGGCAACCCCTGCCTTCCTAACGACCCACGCCTTCTGCCTGTAGCACGAGAGTGGTGCGTGACCTAACCCGCGATTCGTTGCTTTGTTGCAGGTTTGTTTATTCAGGGATTTCCCAAGCTCATCAGGTTACAAAGGCATCATGAGCAGATTCTGAAGAAGTATCTGCCCAAGTTGAAGAAGCATTTAGACCGGCATGGAATAGACACGACAATTTACACGCTTAAATGGTTCTTCCAGTGCTTCCTAGATCGGGTAAGTTGATACTTTATCCAGAAATGAAATGTCATCATCGCTCTCGCCCTGTGGTGTAATTTGGGTGTGGCATGCCTTCTTGAGACAGACTGCTAGCGAGTGAAAAATTAATCATGACAACGTGCATTTCATTTCATGTGGATATTTATGCGTTTTCACTGTTCTTCACTGTTTGTCGTTTCGAGTAACCCGATATGCCTCGTGAATAACGCAACTCGTGACCAGGAATCCCATTCCGCCGCTCCAGCATATAGTGGCGCTCCAGCGTAGTTTGTGCTCCACCCCACACCCACACTCCCTCACCAGACACCTGTTGATGGGCCCTGTCTCCCGGCCCCCCGTTCTGACCCGTTCCACGCAGTGACTTACCTGTCCATCTGCTCGGGTACCGTTTACGCTGGCGCTGCAGCTGTCTCCGGTCGCTCTCCGTTTTAGTTGTTGACTGCTCTCTGTCCACACAGGTACCGTTTACGCTGGCGTTGCGGCTGTGGGACGCCTACATCCTGGACGGCGAGAAGGTGCTGGTCACCGGCGCCTACATGATCCTCAAGGTGCACCGAAAGACGCTCCAGCACCTACCCATGGAGGAGATACTCGACTTCCTCCAGGTAGGGATGGCCAGAAATGCCGACAGGGACACGGGCTGTCGGGGTCTGGGGTCTTCAGACAGGGCTGGGACAGGCGATGTGCTGTGTAACGGGAATACACAAGCCTCGAACACTTCAACAGCGGGCACTTTGTCATGTGATTTTGTTGATATATAGTGTTGTTTGTTCGTTGTTCATTCTGGTAAAAGTCGCTCCGTCGATGCCGTTTGTTCGACTGGCATTGGCGGTATCTAGATCAATAGCAGACTATCACCAGACGACTTTCTGCGGTAATCCTCTCCCAATATAGCCGCTCTCCCCACTGAGCTACTGAGCTACCGAGCCACTCCGCCGAGTTATTGAGACAGAGCCGCTCCCCGCGTGTTTCCCGGCCGTTGGGGCGACCCTGATCCTCTCTGGGGCGGCCCTGATCCTCTCTGGGGCGACCCTGATCCTCTCTGGGGCGGCCCTGACCCCTACTGGGGCGGCCCTGGCCCCCACTGGGGCGACCCTGATCCACTCTGGGGCGGCCCTGACCCACTCTGGGACGGCCCGTATTCGCCCGGGTCGCTGGCGGTCTGTGTGGCGGGCGGTCGTCCAAATCGATAGGTCCGCTCTGTTCGATGGCTCTTGGTCGGTCCTCGGATCAGACTGACTGAAAAGGGACATTGGAGAGCGAGACGACTCTATCTGAAATGAAGTCGAATGGATGACATTTGTGCTAGAGAAAGGTTGAATTTCATCAGCTTCGAAACTAGTTTAGATTAAAATAATATGGTAGACCTCATTTATGCTTGAGTAAGCAGGTCTCAGTGTTATTTAACTGTATTACTCAATATTCAGTCGTCTTCCTTGCGACTCATATCGATCATGGTGAGTTGCATTATCTTTTTATTTATTGTTTTCACCCCTGTGGATGAGCTGCGCAATCACACCTTCACGCCCGGCCTCACTGACTCCCCGTTCCACGCCCGCCCGTCGTCTCAGGTGCGTCTGGAGCGCGACTTTCAGCAGGACGACGACTCGGCGATGGCCGAGCTGGAGCGGTGCGCCGTGGAGCTGCGCGGCGCGCGCCTGGAGCGGCCCGAGCCGCCGCCCGACCACGAGCTGCCGCAGCGGCCGTTCGGCCTGTTCGTGCCGCCGCCGGCGCTGGTGCAGGCCGGCCTGCGGCGCGACATGACCGCCGGCGAGGAGAAGGTGGTCGGCGACATCCAGCGCATCCGACAGGAGGCGCAGCTCTCCGCCGGAGAAGGTCAGCTGAGAGACAGACAGGGAGGGGAGGGGATGGAATGAATGAATGAATGAATGAATGAATGAATGAATGAATGAATAAAAAGTTAATGGGCGATTATGCTAGGTGCTGGAATTAAAAAATGGCACGGAATGCCTGAATGAAGACCGCATCTGAACTCTAAAGAAACGTGATAATGCCTCATGGGTCGCGCTTCGCAACGTACATACGTGTTTGTTAGTGTCTTCGCTATTGTCTTCCCATGGTTGTCTGGCTATTGGCGTTGGTTACAGAACAGAAGCTATGAATAGGTATGCTAATTACGCCAGCATGAACGAATACCTAACAATAGTTATTGACCTGCCATTGTATGATAGAGCCTTGCACTAACCGGTTTCATTCTTCTGTCTTTACGATCTTGGTGGCCAGATATAACTTGCATCATGCTACGCCAGAATGCTTCACTAACTGTATGTCTCCTTCTTTCGAGTGCTCACCTACATGCATGCTTCTCTCCATGCTAGTTCCTCGCCTTGTTAGTCGCGGTACATATAGAGCAGGTTAACATGAATCAAGGCATGTCTTTTAGTCACACGGCTGTTGATGAGACTTTCCATACCAGATAGCATTCTAACCCGCTATACGCTGTGCCACACTAACGGTCCGGCTCTGCAGCGTGGCTGCCCCCGGAGCGGCGCCGGGCGCCCTCTCTGGTCGAGGTACCGCCCACCGAGTACCGGTACAGCGAGCCGAGTACGCTGCCCTGGTACCAGTACCAGCAGGACGCCGACCGCCGGCTGGCCGCCCTGTATCCGGCCCGAGCGGCGGACCAGGCAGTGTACTCAGTCCGACCCGCGGACCCGGCCCGACCTGTGGACTATTCGGTACCTACCGGAGACCGTACTGTGCTGTGGGGCGGCGTCTGCTGTGACGCGGGGCGCACCCGCAGCGTGTCCGCCCGTCCACCGGGCTTACCTGTCTGTCACCGGGCCCAGCGTTCGGCTTCTGCGGGCGGTGGTATTGTGGCATGCTTCGGTGATGGTGGCAGCTGCTGTGAGCTTTTGGTCTGCTGTTTGCTGGTTTAGTCGTCTGGCTTCCAAGTGGAGAGGTGTGTCGTTTTCAGGTTCCGTGACGGTCCCAGCGCTGTGTCGTCAGTGTCCGTGGCCTTTTCAGGGCTTACACCGCCCTCTCCCACCGGGCGCCGGCTCTTGTGATCGTACACCGTGGCTTACTCAGTCAGTGGCGGAGAGGGCTTTGTTCACTTGGTATTGCTCACGTAGGGCCCATCTCGTAGGTCACATCACCTACGCTTACCTGGATACAGCTTAACTGTTCATTGTTCAAACTTATTATCAGACCATCGCTTTTTTCTCGGTTTTGAAGGTAATGAAAATGTCTGGTTTCCATTGCAGCGCGCTCATTTCAGACGTTTCTTAGCAGCCTCTTTCGATCTTTTCCAAGCTTGCTTCCACTGCCGTGTACTAATACCTGCGTTTGTTCTCTGTTTCAGCCTCCGGCAATTCGCATGACGCTAGTATAGACGACTTCTCGTCGCTGCCGCCGCTGGGCTCACGCACCTCTCTGGCGGCCACCTCGGCCTCGGCGGCCGACATCAGCACGTGCTCGCTGCGCTCGCTGCCCGGCTCGTCTCCGGCGGCCGGCCGCCGCCCGGCCCACCTCAGCCTGACGGGGCTGGCCGGCGACTCGGCCGAGCCGGGCGCGCCGCAGGCCCGCTCGGAGCCCACCACGCCGCGCCACGCGGCCGCCTCGCCCGACAAGGTGTCCATCTTCGTGCCGTACACGCCCAACGGCAGCCTGGCGTCGGCGCGCAGCGGCCCCGAGCGGCGCACGCCGCGGGACGGCTCGGCCGAGCGGCGGGCTCTGTCGGCCGACCGGGCGGTGGGCCCGGCCGCCGGCGCCGTCCAGGTGTCGCCGCCCACCTCCTGGCCGGACGAGGCGGGCTCGGCCGGCTCGCCGACCACGCCTGTGTCGCACTGGCCGGCCGACTCGCCGCCCGGCTGGCACTCGGTGCCGTCGCCGGCGTCTCAGCGCGGCTCCGTGTCGCCGTCCTCGCCCGTCTCGCCGTGGTCCGTGTCGCGGGGCTCCTCCCTGGCCCGCTCGTCCACCCAGTCGCCGCCGGCGCCGGCCGAGAACGGCGTGCCGCGTCGGCCCGACGACGAGCCGCTGGTGACCATATCGACGCCCGAGGCGGGCCACGTGACGCGCGTGTCGATCCGCACGGCGCGGGTGATGCCGCGAGTGACGCTGGCGGAGATGGACGAGGTGGGCCTGTTCCGACCGGTGCCCTTTGTGCTGGAGAGCCCCGAGACGGACCTCAAGTGACGGACCGCCGCTGTGATAGGGGCCGGTAGACGCCCCGGCGGCCGCCACGCGCAGTGTCAGTGCGGTGAGCGGCCGGTAGGTGGCAGGCGGCGCCACCAGACTGCACGTCCCATGTCAAAGTGTCATAGTACAAAGTGTGATGAGCGTCTGTGGAGGAGAGGATCGTGTCCCGTTACCTTGATCTGCCTTGGGTGGTGTCCGGCCCGTGTAGTGTCGGGCCGTCCGGTCCGGTTGGGTGTTCTGCGGTCAGTTCCGTGCGTTAGGGCGTGTATACCGAGGGCTGGCCGAGGGCGTCCTCTCGAGGCGCTCAGTCCGCTGCCTCAGACGGTAGTCAATATGCATTTCTGGTTCTTGTACAACCATCCCGTGTCCGTTCCATCACTCCGGTTCAGCATTCCTGAGAGTTTTGTACGTTGTCTTCTATAAGGCGGCGGCGCTGACCCCGGTGCCCTGTGGGCCACCGCTGCAGCATCGCTGTAACGACAGAGGGGAGATAGGATGAGGCATCGACAGATTTCTGCTAACTGCAGTTAGATTTGCTCGGCGATACGGTATTATTAAGTGTATTCGATGGATAGCCATTATCCAAACAAGCGTACTTTGGTCCGTTTCAGGATGCTTGAACTGTCAGGAAATGCTGAAGTCCAATTGCGAAGTTGTCACATTGTTCCTTTAACTTACGATTCCTCGGAGACGCTCTCTTGAACCCGTTGCTGCCCATTTACCCGTGCTGCAGAGGCCTGTTTTGTTAGTTCTGTTTCTGTCAGGACGACATACCATTGGGGATTGTCTAGCCGGAGCCGGTGTGGGTACTGGGTAGTAACTGAACTGATATCAGTCCGTGTGACGGCCTGAAGTGACCGGCGCCCTCCCGGATCTGTTGGGGCGACTGACGGGGCCCAGTCTGCCAGGACCGAGTCCCGTCACTCGCAGCGGGCGCTCCCCGCCGCCCGAGCCGGCGACTGCGGCGGTTCAGTGGCTGTCGAGGCGGCTAGTACTCATCGATATCATTCTGTATTTATTGTTACCCGCTTCGCCCTCAGTTACGCCCGCCCGTGCCCTGTATTCTCGGCTGTAGGCGGCGCTGCCCCGCTGCCGCCTTATTTTTGTATATCGGCATGGCTGGCCAGCTCGGCAGGGTGTGATTTGTTCGGGGTCGAGATATCTGCCCGACTTGTACCGTGTGTAGACGAAATGAAACGATAATACATGTATACTGATGTATGTGTGGGGTTGTGTGAGATCGGGACAGTCGAGATGACGGTATGACGAGACAGAGCTCCTGCCCGGTAAGTTCTCAACGATCGCTCCTCGGTGTGGCTTGGTGGATAGGATGTCAGTCCTTAACTCGGCAGAGAAGGGTTCGAGGCTGGATGGCTGAGTGACGTTAGGCTTGCACAGTACCTGTTTTGTTACACTTAGTTCTGTATGTAGCTTTGCAATAGGTGTTCGTGCTTGGACCAGGGGGGCATGGCTACGCCAGCCGCCATCTACCCGCGGTTCGCTAAACCTTAGGTTCACATTGACACAGGAGATACGGTTACAGGCAGTGAGGCCCGGTGCTGGGTGCGGGGTACCCTGCGTAACGGAACCGTGACAAAACGTCCCGGAAGGGTCCAATGGGCTAGGGCCCGATTAATAAGTCTCTGTAGGCTAGGGTCCGACTAGGTAGGGATCTGTTGGCTAGCTTACAGCTAGATGGGGTTCGAGTCCGGCCAGGCTGTTATTGGGAGATGAGTTCTAAGATAACGAGATGAGCTCGCATTCCCGGGGATCTGAATCAAATGTCCTGAGGCCTAAAATACCTGTGCGAGCTACTGGTCCCGCGTCCCCGATTGTTATTCAGATTAGGCATTCAGCTCAAGCTTCGCTGAGAGCCATTGCATTTATCTAGCCAGAACAAAGCCAGCTTGCAGTTCAAACTTCCGGTGCTCAAACTGGGGGCATTGTACTCATGTCAGACGACAATCTGCCGGAAAAGTAGCGATGCATGCTACAGCATTGCTGTAGTCTGGTAAAACACCTCCCGCTCGCCACCCAGCAGCGCAGCGCGGGGCCACCACCGCCGCGTCACCGATCATGCGCCGTGATTGATAATAGACCGTTCTGCATGGCCACGCGGCGAAAGCGGCGCTGAATGGCGCCACGTCGGCCGCAGCCGGCGCCGGAAGCACGCGTCGACAACTGCGACGCAGGAGCCATTCTGGCGCTTCACTCATGGCGCCGGCCGCGCCACAAAAAAGGGGAGAGCGGAGAGAAAGGCGGCGGCTGCCGCATTGTGTCGCCAGGACAGAGGGCGGTCCTGTGCAGTCCCCTACCCTCTCTGATTTCTGGCAGCTCCTTCACAAGTCGTAGTCCACAGTGGCTTGAACCGAGGTGTGAGGTCTTATTCACCTCGCCCAGCATCGGAGACTCAAATCTCCTTTTAGTTTTACTCGTCCCATAGCAGGGATGTTGTGCCGTCATGGACGCTCGCTACCATTGGGGACGATGGAGGATGGAGCGCCCCAGCGACGGACGCCCCACCCCAGTCCAGCATCCGTCGTCCCAGTCCGGCGGTGCCGTCCGCCGGTGGTTCCTCCGACTGGGGGGAGGGGGAGGGGGAGGGAGCCCGGCCCGCCGGCGCCCGGAGCTCACGCCCCACATCCGCCGGCGGCTGATCGGACTGACGCGGCGACCGCAGCCCGCCGCTGCCGCGCCGCGCCTCATCAGAGCCGCTAATTGACAATGACGTCACTCGTCATATGGCGCCGTCTGGGGTCACAGACAGCCTCATCTGAAGTCGTAGGCGAAATCATCCGGAGTCATCGGATGAGTCATCTGGAGTCATAGGAAGAGTCAGCTGGAGTCATACGAATCATAAGAAGGCGTATAGGTAGGAAGTCACGCGACATACATGTGGCTAATCCCTCGTAGATACACCGACATTAGCGTCGCCACGGGGGGGGGGGGGCAAGCGGGGCAGCTTGCCCCCCCCCCCCCCAACCTCGGACCGGGCACCCCCTGAGATCGATACAGATCCGATGAGATTTCGGAGTCGGGAAAAAAATGGGGTACCTTTCTGAGAATGCCTGTGAGGACAGACTCGGTTGGAGCGTGCAGTTCAAACCAGAGTCGGAGTAGGGGAGATCCGTGTAAGACGCCCAGGGTCGGTAAGAGGCCCCATCGCTTTTTTTACCAAACCAATAATGTTATTTATTTTTTAATGTTCTCGTAAAGCAGAAGCCCTCTTGAAACAACAACTCACGAAACCTGAGGTATCAGGTGCGTCGCAGCGACTTTTGGTAAGTCTATTTCTGTTTTTGCCCCTTTACTTGCTAGATATATGCATCTTTATCACCCTTACATATCTGAAAAAACAATGGCTATAAACTACAATCTTATCTCATCGAAATTGTCACATGTTAGCTTCAGAATAGACCCTGTTCTGGTGCGCTGCAAATGTCTCATAAACCATAAATATTGTGACGTTAAAACACTGCATTTTTTTAAGAGGCCCTCCCTTCGAGGATGATAAAACGCCCCCCGATAAAAAACGCCCCCGATGATAAAACGCCTGCACCTGCGGCAGGCGTGGCATTCTTTTTTTCAAGGAGTTTGTTTTTGTTTCTTTTTTCTGTTTCTTTTCTAAGAGGTGATAGGTACAATTTTCGTTGGTCATCAGCGTTTGGTTGTGCTAGTTTTCGCATTGTTCGAGCGCTTTGGAAGTGTTTTTGGTTTCGATAACACCGTATTTGCTTAGCTTTTCGAAATAAAAGGCCTTGCAGCTGTGTTCGCAAAGCGTCTTTTACAAGTCGACTTGACTTGTGAAACACCCGGGGGGGGGGGGGCGTCTTACCGTACCCATAGTGTAAGAGGCCCTTTTGCAACTTTTTCCAAAATGTTAAAGTTTACGTTTTTTGTACCCCCTAGATTCATTTTGAATGCAAATATGTATGGGAAAATGATGCATGCTCACAGCGCATGCACACGTTTGCTCTTAAATATTATCAGTTGTCTAAAAATAGCAACTGAGCTTAAGGGGGGGCCTCCTGCACCACTCTCCCCTAACAGTCGCCAAAATCTTCAAGATTCCGACTCTAGACTCGGAAATGTCAATGCTGTGATTCATTCCCTGTTCCCAGTTGCTTCTTTATTACATTTTATAGCTAATTTTCATAAGTTTTGGAGTGCTGACACATAATTTTCGTTCAAAGCGTGACACGAAATCTTCGGGGCCTTTCTCAACTCTCGTCAAATGTCTGCGACCAGCTCAAGTAGGGGAGAGTGGGGTAAGATGCCCAGGGTGGGAAAGACGCCCCACCCCCTCTAGCGGCGAAACAAAGAATCGAACCTGGAAATCAATGTTCTTAGCGTAAAGCGGAAGCCTGCCTTGTTAACTGCACAAACATTTGCGAGGCTCAGTTGGGCAACGGCTGGCTGGTGATTACATGTTTTTTATTTGCTGCTTTCAAAAAAATATTTTGGTGTCAAAACATTGTAAATATCAAAGAAGGTAGATAATTTTTGCGTCCCTTGCTATAGTCGTGATAAATTAACATGCGTGTACTGTGTCCCAAACAGTTTGTTTCAGGGTGTAGTCTTATGGCTAGCAAATTGTACTGATTTAATGTTACCTCGGTACCTTGGGGTAAGATGCCCCCTGTCCTGATGGGGAAAGACGCCCCCCCCTAAATCCGTAGGCTGTCCTTCAAGCAGCCCGTCAAATCATTTATTACATACCTGTGATGAGAGACAAAAGCCAATCTGGGACTATTGAGAGTCCAGTACGGTCGGGTGCTCCCCATGCCGGTCTCTCGGCCCACACAGCGACTTTTTGGGCGGCATCTGACTCTGAGAGCCCTTACGACGGCCTCTGTGGGCCACATTATTGGCTCCAGGGCCCCTCACGACATCCTTTGAGGGCTCCCACGTTGGCTCCACGGGCCGCGCTGGCATCTGAGGTCCCCACGATGGGCTCGAGGGCCCTCAAGCATCATGAAGACCTTTAAGGGCCCCACAGTGGTCTCCGAACGCCACCACAGAGGCTTGTTTGGCCGCGCTGGACTATGATGGCCCTAACGATGACCTCTGAAGCCCCTTACGACTACTTTTGAGGGCCCTTACGATGTCGTTTGGTGTCTACTGCAGGCCCGAAGGGACTACTGATTCGTTCAGGCGATTCACGTGCCCATTTATGTCACTTATAGTGCAGGGGGCATCTTACCCAACGCCAGGGGGCGTCTTTCCCACCCTGTGGGGTAAGATGCCCCCTTTCACTTCTTCAGGAAAATGCTTAATAGCAAAAAATGTTATCATATTTCAGCCACGAAAGTGTGATATTTTTGGAGAAAAATGATGTCGGCTTCCGTTGAAACTACAAGTTTTTGCTTTCCGATCGTCATTTTCGAATAATATATGACATAGTAAAACCCTGGGCATCTTTCCCCACTCTCCCCTACCGTTGAAGTGCCGCAGGGCTCATGAGCTTACTTTTCACACAGGCTCCTAAGGAGCTCCACTGAGCTCTAAGAAGCTTTCAGAGGGCCTAAACCGGCCTCTTGAGAGTCCCTTTGTTGTCCATGTTCTCTGAGGGTCCATACAGGGATCTTTGAGGACCTTACATTTTACATACACGTAGACCTCTGAAGGGCCACACGTGGCACACGAATCTTTGAGGATGCCTTCGAAGATTTCTGAGAACCTTAACTGGCCTCTGATAGTTCAGCCGAACTTTTGAGGCGACAGACTTTGCTAACCCCAAGCCGGCCTCTGAGGGGTCACAACTCACGTGTCCCTCTGAGGGCTTCAACACACGTTTCTTATATGTCCCTACGTAGGGTCCTTAGGAATTCGACACAGACCCCGATGGTTCACACTGTTATCCGAGGGCTCCAGGCTCACCCTGGGCCTAGTCTCTCTTGCCCGCCGCCCACATTGGCTTCTGAGGGCCCCACCTTGGGCTCGGAAAGCCCTAAAGCACCACACACACGTAAATATCTGGGGTGACCCACGCCGATCTCCAGGATCCTAAGCAGGCTTCTGAGAGTCCACACTGACCCTGAGTGGCCTGAAATGGCCTGGAAGTCCCAAGACTATCGCTACGGGATCCCTTGCAGCTATATATCCTTTACAGGCATTTCAGGCCGTTTACAGGCATTTCAAGAAATGCGTTGTAAAATCGAGTAAAATGCATTTCATTGAAAATCATCGATGGGGAAATGTTCTTCAAACACATATTTTGC